TGTTCTGCAGGAAAGGAGGTTATCATGGTAGTGGTTGACCATCTCACCAAGTACAGCCATTTCTCTGCATTACCTCACCCTTACACCACAGCAATGGTGGCTGACATCTTCATCCAAGACGTCGCCAAGCTGCATGGAACCCCAAGATCCATTGTCTCAGATCGGGACCCTACTTTCCTGAGTTCATTCTGGAAGGAATATTTTCGGTTGCTAGGAACCCAATTGCACCCCTCCACGAGTTATCACCCGCAGACTGATGGGAAGTTCTTAATCGTTGCTTGGAAGCCTACCTTAGATGTTTCATAGGGGAAAAGCCCCAACCGTGGGCAGAATATTGGTACAACTCGACTTATCAGTCAACTGCTGGAATGACACCCTTCAAGGCTCTTTATGGCAGAGAACCTCCTCCCATACCTTATGAATATGGGTCATCCAAGGTGGCAGAAGTAGAGACCCGCCTACTTGCAAGAGATGAGATTCTTAGATTGCTTAAGTCCAACTTGACAAAAGCCCAGCAGCGAATGAAGGCCCACTATGACACTCACCACCGCCCGTTAGAATTAGAGGTGGGTGACTTCATTTACCTTAAGCTCCAACCTTACCGCCAGATCTTAGTGGTAAGACGGGCTTGGCACAAGTTAGCACCCAAGTATTATGGGCCTTATAAGGTTCTGGAGAGAGTGGGTCTTGTTGCTTATCGGTTGGACCTCCCTGCAACCTCAAAGCTTCATCCAGTGTTTCACATCTCACTTCTTAAGAAGGCGGTGGGAAATCATACACATGTCTCACCCAACTTACCCCAATTCACTGAAGAAGGGGACATTGACACGGAGCCTGACAGAATTGTGGATTTCAATTGGGTTCGACGAGGTGGTTAGGTTGTGCCAGAAGCCAAGGTAGAATGGGATGGGCTCCCTCCAGATGATGCCATTTGGGAACCTTATCTTAGGCTGAACGAGAGGTTTCCAAACCTAGACCATGAGGGCAAGGTCAATGCTAAGGGGGGAGGAATTGTTGGAACCCAAACACTCCCTCCGAACCCAACTATAGGTATGGAGCAGACCACCACCGAGCAGCATTTCACTAGAAGACAAAGAGGTTAGCATGACACGTGGCAGAGCCTTCCATAGTTAGCTACACTACCACCAGAAGATATTCTCTTCATCAGTGCATACATGTAGGCCAGCTATATAAGGCCCTGATCATGTAATAAGTGGCATGAATGAATATCCCTTTTATCTCTCTCTCTGTGTCATCTTCTTCCTACCTTCCCCCCCCCTCCCTTCCATCTTCTGTTTCAGGAGGCTAAGCCACCCTCGAAGGGGCTTCCGAGGTGAGCGGTAACTCATCAATATCAACCGATACGCACTGATACAAACCGATGCATTGCGTCCTACTAAAAAAATGACAATAGAAGGATTCGAACCCAGGTCATCCAACGTGCAATGCGCCTTAATCTAGTCTTATGATAATAAATGAAATAAAATAGCTTTATTAAATTTAGTATATACATGTAATCCAAATAAATAATACGTACTTATGTTTAACAACTCCAACAAAAAATTAAAAAGAATAATATTCAAAATTAATGTTTTACAAACTAAAGAAATAAGTAATCTATCAAATCCACATTAAAATCAAAAGATTATTTTAATCACAAGAAATGTGTACAAATAAAATATTTTTTTTATTTGATCAGTAAATATGTGTTTTATTAAAATTCAGATTGTAAGCATTTTATACAATTTGATGATGGGACTGATGATCCCTTTTCCTCACTCTATTCATCACTCATTACAATGTAGCCCAAAATAATTGTTGTCTCAATGCCCCTTGTTTTGCTAATCCATTAGCCATTTGCACTTCTTCGGACCCATTTAAATTCACCCTCAACCTCCTTGGCAATCTTCTCCACTTCCCTAATCACATGTTTAAACGTCCATGGGGTGTGGCTGCTATTTGTTGCCCATGAAATTACTACTTTTGAATCCCCTTCTACTTCAACATGTCTGCATCCTAGTTGTTTGGCTAGCTTTAACCCTTGTAGTAATGCCAATAATTCAGCCTTCAGCAAGTTTCCGTTGCCAATCGGCCCCGAGAACATACCCAATATCCTCCTGTCAGGGTTTCTTAATACTCCTCCTACTCTTGATATGCCTAGATTTCCATATGAGCACCCGTCAAAATTCAGCTTTACTTTATTGCCTTCAGGTGGTTTCCACTCCAGCCTTACTTTATTCTTACTCTAGAAGAGTGTGCTACTTCGGACCATGTTCTTAGAATATCTGCGACTAAGAAGACTTGAAAGCAGTCCAAGAGTTTTACCCAATGGGCTACTTTCATCTTGATATTATCATCACTTCCTCTACTGTTCTACTTTTTTCCAAGAAAATTCTGTTGTTTCTCTCTTCCCATATTACCCAACAAATTGCTGCCTTTGTTGCTTTCCACATTACCATCCCTCTTTTATTTCTCTGTCTCAAGAAATCATGGTTGAAGAGTCCTACCACATCTCGAGGGGGAGCACACCTGCAGACAAAGAGAGTACAAAAGAAATCCCAAATTCGATGCACAAAAGAACAGGATATCATTAAATGAGAAAGGGTCCCACCATTTTCCTTACACAGTGAGCACACACGAGGAGAAAGGCACATGTATGGCCTTCTTCTCTGTAGCATATCACAAGTGTTTACCTTACCAAGGAATACTTCCTAACTGAAAACTTGGATCTTCGGGGGAATAGGCTTGCACCAGATTTCTTTCACAGGGAAGGTCCCACCTAGAGGGTTGGGGGAAGCAAGTACTTTGAAGAAAGAGGAGCAAGAAAAGAGGCCGATTGGAGATCTTACCCAGATTCTTGAGTCTTCCAACGAAGGGTCTAGGTGGATCTGCCCAAAGAGGTTCAGCAAGCGGGTTAAAGATTCACACTCATTCTCCCTTAGTCCCCTTTTAAAGCCTAAATTCCAGTTCACACCAGTTGGACACAGAGATCCCAACATGGATATAGCTTTCCCCTTAAGGTTAGATAGTGCAAAGAGATCAGGGAATCTGTCTTTTAGTGGGGTTTCCCCTGCCCATAGATCTTCCCAAAACAGAATTCTATTACCTTGCCCCACATCAAACCGGATGGAATTGAGGAAAGTAGGGTAGATTTCATGAATTGCTTTCCAAGGAGAAGCCGAAGACCTGTGAGGGGAAACTTTTGCATCCCAGCCATTTCCAACCACCCCATGAATGCTCTCAATCACTTTATACCACAATCTGTCACCCTCAAAGGGAAACCTCCAAAGCCACTTACCTAGTAGAGTTGTGTTCCTTAAAAGGATGTTTCCAATTCCCAAACCCCCTTGTTCCTTGGGTTTACTAACCTGCTCCCACTTGATCAAGTGATCCTTCCCTTCCTCTCCTGGGTCCCAAAGGAAATCTCTCATATATTTCTCTAGGCATCTTGCTACCTTAGAAGGGATTCTAAAAGTTGAAAGGAGATAGGTGGGGAGGTTTGCCAGAGTGGCTCAAATCAAGGTTATTTTTCCACCCAATGAAATGTAGTTCCTCTACCAAAGGGCTAACTTCCTATCAAACCTTTCTAACACTGGTTTCCAAAAACCAACTGACTTGGGGTTTCCTCCTAAGGGTAAACCTAGGTAACTAATAGGCCAGCTTCTGATCTTACACCCCAAGATTTTTGCAAATCTTATTAGTTCTCCTTCCTCCAAATTGACCCCTACAATTCCACTTTTGGTCCAATTTATCCTCAGCCTTGTCACTTCCACAAAATTATTCAGCAGCACCCTCAAATTTTCCACCAACTCCTCATTGTTTCCTTCATAAAAAAATATGGTGTCATCTGCAAATTGGAGATGGGTAACAATCACTCAGTTTCTACCTACCCTCCACTCTCTGATGAGGCCTTGAGCATCAGCTTTTGCCACCATTCTACTTAACACTTCTGCCACTAAGGTAAACAAGAATAGGGATAGGAGGTCACCTTGTCTAATTCCTCTCCTAGCCAGGAAGAAATCCTTTGTTGTACCGTTGATTAGGATTGAGTAGTGAGCTGAACTTAAGCATCCTTTGATCCAAGCCCTCCATCAATTTCCGAATCCGAATCTTTCTAAAACTTTTAGAAGGACATCCCAATTAACCAAGTCATAGGCTTTTTCTAGATCTACCTTACAAACCAGCCCCTTTTCTCTACCCTTTCTTCTTTCCCCTACACATTCATTAGCCACCAAGATTTGATCCACAATCGACCTTCCTTCTACAAAAGCTCCTTGATACAAATAAAATATTAATAATAGAGTAATCATTTTAGTACTTAAAATTAATATATCAATTATTAATTAATATTTTAATTTATATTACATTAAATAACAACATATTAACTATTTACAAAAATAAAAAATGTTTAAAAAATATTTCAGAATATAATATTAAATAAAATCTATCAAATCTACTAATCAACACTTATATCAAAAAAATGGTTTATAATTTTAGAAAAATTATAAAAACAAAAATATTAATACTGGAATAATATTTTTAGTAATTAAAATTTACAAATTTTCATATTATATATTTTAAATTGGAATAATTTTCGTATTATAAATTATTAATTGATATTTTAACTTACATTTGAGAATTTAATATTTGGTTGACTTTTTTGTTTATGTAAAAAAGTAAAAATAGTAAAATAGAAAACAATTGATATAATAATTAAAATATAATATGTGCATATGTTATGTGTCTTGGACTCTTGATTAATGCATTATCAATAAAATTGTATGATATTTATACATCCCACTATATTAATTGTAATATATTTTTTCAAATACACCATTAAAATATACATTTCCTATGTATGTATACATTATTTGTGGTTATTTGATTTTAAATTTAGTTTTGCAGAATTTAGAACCATACAAGCAGGGATTTAAAAGTCGTATCACACAATGACAGTGCCTACTGTTCACTTATAAAAGGGTACTAAAATGATATTATACCTTGTTGTGAGATCTATCAACTGCAACTACCTCTCCTTCATCCTTCATAAGGATTGCAATTGCGGTAGTTTTCCCTCCTGGAGCAGCACACATGTCTAATACCCTCTCTCCTCGATGAGGATCTAAAACATTCATACACCATTTGAATCATGAGATAACTTCTTCAGACCAAGCAATATCATTAGATCCAAAATTACAAATGTACATGAATGCAAAATCATACCAAAAAGCAATGAGAGTAGAAATATAATAAATTACCAGTAGCTAAAATTCCATGTATTGTTGGAAGATTTTTAATCTAGAAGCTTCTAATGAGAGGAAGATTTGCACAGGTGGGAATGAAGGGCTACATTCCTATTAGCTCTTACGGGCAGAAGCTCATAAAGCTGTACACTACAGAAGACACTTCCTGACTTAAATGAGTCAAGAACATCAAAGAAAGGGAAGATGTGGTAGGATTGAGTAAGTGGGTAATGCAGTAGAAGTGTAAAAAAACTAATGTCATCTGGTGAAGGGTTTTAGGATGACGGAGGTGGATGTTGGTGGGATTTCACTTTTCATGGAGATGGATCCATGTGAATCTTGCAGTTGTGTTCTTTCGATCAGTTACAGGGAAACTTATTAGCAAGATAAGGATCTTCCAAAACAAAGGATACAAAAAACAAAAAGTATGAAAGGAACAAAATTAAGATACAAAAGATGCATAATCAGAAAGTTAAGAGTTTGAGAACATTGGTCTCAACAAATCACAAGGAGACAATGGTTTCACCACCATCTGAGATAGGTTTTTTCCTTCAAGAATGCAAACATGAAAGGCAGGAGAACCTACCAAGACCTTTTTTTAAAGGCAAGATAAAAATTCATCAAGGAGAGAGGTGGGAGTACCTAATTTGCAAATCAAGCAACCTATTAACCTAATAAAAGAAACTTTTAAGAAATAAAAACATAAAATATCTCCTGATATCTTATTCTCTTTCTACTCTTCCAAGTGAGGCTTGCAAGAGTGAGTTTTGCGCTTCAGGCTTCATTCTCAAGTCAGAACATAAATCTTTAAACATTTATGGCCCAAGGACAATAAGGGGAACTTCTGTGCATATGGGCTTTGAGTTAAGTGGGTAAAGCCTACCAATGTAGCATCACTAACTCAAGTTACAAAATTGAGATTTCAGAGTTTACAATTTCCTAAAAGCAAAAATTCTGAAAGAAAATAACACCTTGGGTTTCAATCACAAATAAAGAACTACTCTTGGACTTTATGAAATATTAACACACTAAGAAATCAGAAATCAAATAGGCTTTTTTTGGGTCCAATAGGCAACAGGAACTCCTCAACAGCAGAACTGCTGGCAGTTTACATGGAGCAGATCGGGAAAGATGTTTAACATGACAAACTTAGTCGTAGAAAGTAACTCAAAGGTTGTAGTGGACTGGTTGAAGAATGACAGAATGGGAACATGGCATTAAAGTAACACCTTGAGGTAGATCAAAGCAATGATAAGAGAACAAAGAGTTACGTTTTCATTGATGCATAAATCAGCAAATGATTCACCTGATGCTTTGGCTAAAGAAGGGATCAATAAGAATCAGCTGTTGTGGGAGTTTCTTAAAGCACAGCCAGGATCAAATAGATCATATATAATCTAGTCCTTGTGTAAATTGCTAATAGTATGAGTCTAGTGACTTCAGTCAGACCTGTGGGTGACTGCTTGCTTGTTGCACATATTGCTCTATTATCTTAACTAATAAAGCTTCAAGTTACAAATTAAAAAATAAAAAATCAGAAACCAAATAAACTGGATCATGCGACAATCTGAATCACTCATGTGATGCCAAAACATGACAGGGGTGTATATCACCTTTTATGCACATACACCCCGTTTACTTGGTTCTTGTATACATGTGTTGGACCGATTAAATTCCAGGTTCAACCATCAGGTTTGGTGTGGTTTTCAAAAAATTGCCCAATGGTAATTCCTATTCTTGATATCTGATTGGACAAAGAGTGGAACATGATTAAAGCTAATATGATTGATTTTCTGCAGCAAGGCACAAGAACGGGAAATAACAGCTAGAATATGCTAAGATGAGATGATAAGCAGGGACCATAAGCTGTAATTTAGGCAGAAGAACAAACATACTGCTGCCAAGACTACCTAGACCATGAAGTTTCTTTTAGTTTTTGCTTGTTTTACAAAACTTTTGGTGGGCAATGGTCTGAGTTGGTATGTTCTGTGACATCTGTCAACACCATTTAGATTAAATTCTAAGGACATAGCAGTCAGTGCTTTGAAATTCAGAGTTAAGTTTGTTTTCTAAGGACATAGCAGTCAGTACTTTGAAATTCAGAGTTAAGTTTGTTTGGTGGCTTATATTTAGAAGACAACTTTTTGACAGATAACTGGAGGAATGTGTCAATCTCTTCACAAGTTAGAATAGTCGAAGATCAGCCATGATTCAACCAACACAGATGGTGAAAAGAATGTGTGAAAGCAAAGGCAATGTTTACTCTGAATTCTTTTCATAATGCAATTATCAGTAACTACATGGAGTGATATCCTTTGAAAGGGATTTGGGGCAACTCAATTCCATCTAGGGCAGAAACCTCTGCATGGTTGATGTCTTTGGACAGTATCTTGACAGTCAACCACCTAAAATCTAGAGGTATTTTTAGTAAAAGAAAACATACTATTTCAATCAAAAGGGGGAATCAAGATAAAGTACAAAGATGAGACCCCAAAAACTCTACAACGAGGAGCTGTACAGCCACACAGAGAAAACCCTTCCACAAAAACAAAACAGGAAGAGTCCCTCATTCAGCCCATTAAAGAAATTTTAAGAGGATGCGGTATGTTTTTTTATTGTAAGATGTCAGATCTTATTTGGTCCATCATCCTTTGTTTATTTGGATGACTTCAGTTTAGACCAGCACGACCACATCATATTTTCTCCTTGTGGCCTAACATTGCCATGAGCTAGAAAAGAGAGATTGTTAGGGGCCATTTCATGGTGCACTGGTAAAATCTCAGGCAAACAACCATGAGAACATAAGCTTGAATATATGAACAGCCATTTTGTGCAAGGAAATGCCAAAGGTTAGATCTTTTAAAGTCCATCCCTCCAAAGAACCCAGATAGCAGGGACATTTGGTAATAGCCTTTTTATGGTATACAGACAGAGGAATAGGAACAAAAGAATATTTGACAGGAAGCAACATGATACCAGAAGAATTGTGGCTGGCATTTGTTCATTGATGTAAGATTGATTGATAGCTCACCCTAAGTTTGAAGATGTAGAAAGAGCACACCTTGGTTCTGATTGGCCAACATTAGACCTTGTAAATATTGATGTCTAGTTGGTTATTGCATAGCCAAACAATCGTAAGAGGTTGTTGTATTCTTTCTTAAGGTGAAATGAAACCCCTTAACTTTCTACTTGCATCTTCCATTTTCTTTTTAGTACATTTTTACTTTAAAAATAAAGGAAATACCTAGAGCATGTGCAGCAACAATGCTCGGCAAGTTTTGAAGAAATATTTCCCCCTCAAGCACATCTGGAAATGAAACCACAATCAAACATGTCAAATATACGTTCAAATATAGACATACTAAATGAAACATAAAAAAGAAAAAGCATCAAATCCTATTCTAAGAAAATACAAATGAGGCAACCAATAAAACAGTACCAAATCCATGTGTGACTGTCATGTCACTGCTTTAAAATGCCCCTAGGAATGAGAGACAATAAAAGAAGTAGCTATGAAACTTTTTTTTTGATAAATGAGAGTAGTTTTATTAATTCAAATAAAGAAAATAAAATCAAACCTAGGAAGAGGCATGAGATGTTACCTCCCCCGAGGACTGAATCATATACACTAAACATGCCCAAGCCTGAAACACAAATTACAAAGTAGCCCAAAACAGATCTCCCCTCGACACCCCTCGCTTGGCCAGAGAATCAGCCATTGCATTTGCTGATCTGCTGAGCCACTGAAACCTCAGTCATATTTCTTGTCATCCACTTAACCTTCTTTAACAGGTCCCTACAGCCCCAGCAAGCTGTACCTGGGCTATTCAACCAGCCTACTACTACCTTGGAATCCCCTTCTACTAACAAATTGTTCACTCCAATTTGACTAGCCATCTGTATACCTTGTACCGCTGCTGGTAACTCTGCCCTTACAAAATCACTTTCACCCACTGGTCCTGAAAAAAGAGACAAAATATTGTTGTCTTTGTCTTTTAGAATCCCATTAATTCCAAATGGCCCTGGGTTACCTTGGCAGCTGCCCTCAAAATTCAATTTTACCACTCCATCCGGTGGGGGTTTCCATTCAACTTGTGATTTGTTCTTGGTGGATACTGTAGAAGCCACTGCTTCCCAGTTTCTCCATAAGTCATCAAAGGAGAAATAATCTGCCAACAATTGTGAAGATTTCAACCATGAGATTGTCCTTGTCAATATGCATTCCTTGATTTCAGAAAGACTTCTTTCCTTTTCTTGAAATATTCTAGCATTTCTCTCTTCCCATAAAATCCCCAAAGTAGCGGCTCTAATACATTTCCACATTAGCTTCCCTCTTTTTGTCAATCTCCCAAGAGCAGCCAGAGTGAACAGCAGCTTTACTTCAGAGGACAAGTTCCACCTGCACCCAAATAAGGAAACAACCCAATTCCAAATATTGGCAGCAAAGGAGCACGATATCAGCAAATGGTTACAGTCCTCACCCTTCACTTTACACATAAAGCACCAATTTGGGGACAGACACATAAAAGGTTTCTACTTTTGCAAGTTTTCCACAGTAGTGATCTTACCATAATAGGCTTCCCAACAAAACACTGCTATTTTGGGGGGTACTGGCCTTGACCAAACCTCTTTAACAGGGAAGACCTGAAAGGAAGGGTTAGAGCAACTCAACAAAGGGCTTTGAAGAAAGATGCACAAGTGAAGGAGCCAATCGGGGTTAGGGCCCAAACTCTTTTATCCGGGTTAGTGGGGTCCAGATACACCGAATCTAGAAGCAACAATAGCTCTGAAACACAATGAAATTCTTCATCCCTTAACCCTCTTTGAAACCCAAAATCCCAATTTAAAGCCAAAGGGCAAACCAGGGGGGAAAGGATCCATGAAATAGGTTTCTTTTTAAAAAGGGAGATGGAATAGAGAAAAGGGAAATGGTCTTTCAGGGGTTGAGTGCTCACCCAAGTATCTTCCCAAAAAAGAATGGAGTTTCCAGAACAAGCATTGTACCTTACAAAACTAAGGAATTTAGGGAGAATGCCAAAGATCACCTTCCAAGGTGTTGTAAGCAAAGCCCTTCGAGATACCCCCCATCCCAACCTGATTCAAAACAGCCATGAATACTTTTCACTACTTCATGCCACAACCTCTTCCTCTCCAGGGGCCACCTCCAAGGCCACTTACCTAAAAGAGCCTCATTCTTACTCACCACATTCCCTAAGCATAGGCCTCCTTTTTTACTCCAACTCACCACCTCCCCCCTAATCAATTGATCTTTTTTCTCTTCTCCAGGTTCCCATAAGAAGTCCCTCATCAGTTTTTCCAACCTCTTTGCCTCCCTTTTAGGAATTCTAAAGACTGACAAGAAATATAATGGCAAGTTGGCTAAAGTTGCTTTAATCAAAGTAGCTCTACCACCCACAGAAATAAAATTTCTCTTCCAAGCTGCCAATCTTTTCTCGAATTTTTCCACCACCGGGTTCCAAAACCTACTTTCCTTGGGATTTGCACCTAGAGGAAGTCCTAGGTAGGATAGAGGCCACTGAGAGCAAGTGCATTCTAACAAGAATGCTATAGACTCCATCTCCTCTCTGTTCAAATGAACTCCAAACTCTTCTCAAAATTTAACTTCAAATTTGAGGCCCTCTCAAAGTGAATTATTAAATCCTTCAGATCCCTTACCTCCATTAAATCACAACCTTCGCAAAAGATTATTATGTCATCTGCAAATTGGAGATGGGTAACTGAAACTCTATCTCTACCTATTCTCCACCCTTTTAGAGATCCGGCTTTATCCGCTTCTGAGAGGAGTCTACTAAAAGCATCGGCGACTAAAGTGAAAAGGAAAGTTGATATGGGATCACCTTGTCTCAAACCCCTACTAGTTGGGAAAAAATCATTAACTACCCCGTTGACTAGGATGGAATAATGGCAATTGGAAAGGCAACCGTTTATCCATTTGCACCATTTATCCCCAAACCCACACTTCCTTAGCACAAGTGATAAGAATCCCCAATCCACCAAGTCATAGGCCTTTTCAAGATCTAGTTTACACACATAACCTTGATGCCCTAATCTCCTCGTTTCCTCCACACACTCATTTGCTATTAGAATCTGATCTACAATTTGTCTCCCCTGAACAAAAGTTCCTTGCACTTGGCTAATAAGACAAGGAAGCACCTTTTTATTCTCAAAGATAAGACTTTTGCCACAATCTTGTAAACACTAGTCACCAAACTGATAGGTCTAAAGTCCTTTGGATGCTTGGCCTCTTTCTTCTTGGGAACTAAGGCTAAAAAGGTAGGATTAATTCCCCGACTCATCACTAGATTATTCTCAAATTCCTTTAAGACCTCAATTAAATCTTCTTTGACTGTGTCCAACAATCTTGAAAGAAAGCCATTGTAAACCCATCTGGCCCTGGTGCTTTAGATCTGTTCATGGAAAACACGGCTTTTCTAATTTCTTCCTCCTCAAAATTCCTTTCCAGCCAGCTTCTACTCTCTTCTAGAAGCCTCTGCCAGGTCACACCTTCCAACTCCACACTAGGGCTTAGGGGTCTCCTCAAAATGGACTTGAAATGTTCAACAAAACAATTGGCTATCCTCTCTTGGGTATCATAGACTATTCCATCCACTTCCAGTTTGGACACTAGGTTTTTCCTTCTCCTTCCATTGGCTAGGTCATGAAAAAATTTAGTGTTCCTGTCTCCTTCCTTAATCCACTTACATCTAGACTTTTGCCTCCAGGAAATTTCTTCTCTCAAAATGACTTCATCTAACTCTCCTTTTAGATTCCATCTCCGATCTCTACCTTGAGGGCTTATGGCTCTTTGGGATTCCTTCACATCCAATTCCTCTATTTGGCACAACATAGAGGATTAAATTTCTTCTATTCTCCCAAAATGCTCCCTATTCCAATCCTTCACATGTGCTCTCAATCTTTTTAGTTTTTTGTGAAATCAGAAATCTTACCCCTTTCCACTTCACCCCCCTTAGGTCTTCTCTCCACCATTCCTCAACCTTCTTCACGAAGTCCGGTTGAGTCAACCACATGTTCTCAAACCTAAAGGGCCGAGGTCCTTGCCTAAAGGGCTCCTGTCCTAGGCCAATGGGGCAATGGTCAGATGTGACTCTAGGTAGAGCCCTTGTTATCAAGTCTGCCCACTTATTTTCCCAGCTTTCATTGAAAAGGAACCTATCTAATTTCGAGCAGGTTGGTGCCTCCTGAAAGTTGGACCAAGTATAGAGAGCTTGCAGCAATGGGAGTTCCTTTAACTCATAGTTATTAATAAAGTCGTTGAATCTCCATATGCTGGTTGTAATGACCAGTTGGGGGTTATTTGATTCATTCGTAAATTGAATTACATTGAAATCTCCCCCCCCCAAGCACCACAGACCATCCCAAAGCCCTTGAATCCCATAAAGTTCTTCCCAAAATTCATTCCTTTCTCAGTAATTGCTTGGTCCATACACATTAGTTAGAGCCCACGTAAATCCATCCTCTACCATCTTGAATTTTAACGACACTGAAAAATTACCTACTAGCTCCTCCATTGTATCCTCTCTCCAAAAGGTAGCAATTCCCCCCGAAGCCCCCCAAGAAGGTGCTGAAACCCAACTTATTCCTCTAGCTTTCCAAATGCTTCTTGCCCATCTTCTATCAATATCAGCTAAATTGGTCTCCTGTAGCATCACTATATCCGGCCTTTCCCTTCTAAGGAGGTCCTTAATCAACCTTCTTTTCCTAGCACTTCCCAACTCCCTCACATTCCAGCTGATGACTTTCATGGAGATAAGTGATTTGGCATCCCCTTCTGAGATCAGGCCTCTACTTAGAGGCTTTCCTTCTCTCCCCTCTTCCACTGAATTCCAAATTTTCTATATCTAATATCAATCTTTCCACTTCTGATATTTTCTTCTTCCTTCGGTTATTAATTGTTCCAGATCTGCTTAAGGCTGCTTTTGTTTTATTTTGCCTTTCCGAAATTCCTTGGTTTTCCTCCAAAGATTCCTCTGTTTGCCTATACTCCTCAAGGAGAGCACAAATCTGTCCCCAAATCCTCTCTAATTCCTCCTGCTGCATCTTTCCCATAATTGATTCATCCCCTGCTTTTTTCCTTCTTTGAACCCCTGTTTTTACTGAGCCTTCTTGAACCTCATAGTTCCCTACCTCTTCCTCTTTTCTCTTATACTCCTCCAAAAACATACAAATCTGATCCTAGATTTTCTTAACTCCTCTTACTGTGATTCTCTTCCCCTTCCCACTTCCTCTTGTTCTTTGCCCTCCTTGTCCCCAATTAAGTACTTTCCA